GCTGAGGTCAAAACGATTATAATATGGTGTAACAATCTTCATTCATGGTCTTTAAAATGTTGGTAAATAATGAAAACTGATGATCACATTTTTTAAAATTCAAATATCACCACATTAATGATTTGTGATTGCTAACATCTAATTTAGGCATTTTTTTCCCCATATATGGCTTTAAATCCTCTTTCCTCAGTGCCTACAGCTAAATGTGTTGTCCTCAAAGAGATGACTAATTCTAATTCTGATTCTATAATTGATATTTTGTTGTCGTTTTTATAAATAAAATAAAAAAAAAAACAGCCATCAGTTTGTCCAGGGCAAACCTCAGCAAATTCATGCCAACAGCAGACTGTTTGGTGCAAAAAAGAAGAACTTGCAGGTTAAGTGGATGTGTTTATATTCAGAAAGAAATTTGGCCTGCTTCTGAGAAAATCCTTTGCTGTGGTGGTGAAAATGCTGCGGTTTGCCTCGCTGCCTCCGAGACTGGACAGCATGCAGCCATTCAGCCAACTATGAAGTCTGTATCATAACCAAGAGTGCTTAAAAATAGTGTGAAGCCGTTTGTTTTCTGTTTTTGTTTCTCGGTTGCTAGGCGCCATGCAGAGCGGCAGCCAGTAGCTCTCGTTTTTTATATTGCATTCATTGCATGACTTGCACATGTTGCACTGCTGTTAACAGGACTTCCTCGTTCACTGCACATTTTTATTGTTAGCATTTGACATTATGTGGTACTTTATAAAATTTAGTACATTTTTTAATCATAGTATATTTTACACTTTATTGTACAGTTTGTGTCTTTATATAATTTTCTATTTTCTTGTTTATTTGTATTGTGGTGATGGTCACTTTATTCTTACTTCTTGCTACTGTACCAACAGAATTTCCTCTTTGGGATCAATAAAGTACTTCTTTTCTATTTGTTCTATTCTAAACGCTAAAATTAAGATGAAAGTTGACTTTTTCGACGGCCCTCTGTGGGGCGGCAGTGGGCTCCTGCTTTTTTTCAAAGTGGAAGTGGTAGTTTTCCTCAGCAGTGGCAAGATGGGGCTACTGAAAATCTTGTGGTGGCGAATTGTAGGAACTCTTGTGCTGTTGTAAAGTAGAGGCTTGTTGTCAATTTGAGAGTTAGGAAGTGGCTTTCTGATACTAACACTGCACACTGATTCACAGTAATATCACTGCTACAAATATCCTGCCGTGAAACAGAACAATCTCCCAAATAAAAACACTTTGTATGAAAGACATTTTGACATTAATAAGCCGATCAGACTTTGCTGGAGTTCAGGATTCAGCTGCTTAACAGATGATTTAACTGCAGCTGATAAACCGTGACTCTGAACGCTCACCTGTCAGAGGTGAAGAAAAGTCCACGGCGTCATTAGATCCCGATAGATCCTGTTTCCACGACTGGGATAAATTACAGTTATAGGCTAAATAATTAACGAAGCTGCGGCCGTGTTTTGTTGTGCGTAAATGTTCACACCTCTCTCTCTTTGGAAGCGCTTGTATAGATCTTGCTGCTCTCAGAGGAAGCAGCTAGAAGCACCAAACTGAACTTTAGCTCCTGATCACATTTTGAGATTTGCGCCTTCATTAACTGTGCTCTCTGAGTTGTTTATGGACAGGGTGGCACACAAAACCGCAAAACCAAAAGCCAAAACTGAAGTTTTAGGAGTTCTGTTATGCTGTTGAAGTACTTTCTGCAACATGTTTTATTAAAATGAAGCGGGAAAACTTCTCCTATAGGCAAGACAGCCATCATTTATTCATAACACTGAAAGCTCTGTGCGTGTGTGATGATAACTTCTCAAACTACAGCAACTTATGGTACAATAAAATGTGTTTATATTGGGACTCTGCTACCCGTTGCCATCTTTTGGTTTAATCACTAGTGAGCACATGTTCTGTAAAGCATCCTCTGCACAATAATGACTCTGTTGCAAATATTCTGCTGTGACATGACAAACTCTCCCAAATAAAAAAACTGGATATGACAAAAAAACATATTTTGGTGCAGATCAAACAGGAAAATCATATCTATCTTTGGTAAAGTTCAGGATTCAGCTGTGTAGCAGATGATTTAACTGCAGCTGATAAGCTGTAGCTGTGTATGTGACCGCTCACCTGTCGGAGGTAAACAAAAGTCCACAGTGTCATTAAATCCTGATGGATCCTGTTTCCATGTCTGGGATGAATTACAGTCACGGGTTAAATAATTAACGAAGTCACGGCTGTGTTGTGTTGTAAATGTTCACACCTCTCGTTCTCTTTGGAGATGCTCATGTGTGTCCTGCTGCTGTTTGGTGCTGATTTATTAAACTTACAGGAAAAACCCTTTGCTGTTATTTCTTCGCTTCGTGACGAGACACAGATTTGATGATTTCCAATCTGTGTGAACAGCAAAGCACCAAACAGAGTTTTAATGTGGACCATGCAAGACGTTTGTCGATACTTAGTGGAAACCGTCAGCATTTAAAATCATTTCAGTCAAATATAAAATGCAGTTTTGTTGTTAGTCAGATTTGTAGCGCACATTGTTTAGGCTGTATTACAATTTACCAAAAAAAACATGCAATTTACAGTACGTGTGATTCCTGACAGTTAATGAACAGGACAAGAGAACTGGTGTAATGTTCATCATCTCTCTGTGTTAGCTTGCCAACATGAGCACAAAAAGCATGAACGTGAGCCGTGTCACACAAAATAATGCGTCTTTAGTGTATTTGGCGGTCAGCTATGAGAAGCCTTTATTTCTCACTGTTGTACTTTAAATAGATTTCCTCCAATGTTTCCTTCGTCTGTTCGATGGGAGCTCAATCAATCAGGTCTGTATTGATCATGATATATCCATGAGTCGTCGGTCACTGCTGAGCTGCTGGCGATTGTTGTTAATTGAAAATATCGACACGAAGCTATCCCTTCGATATCGAACGGTGCTGTTAGTTTGTTTGAAAAAATTGGAAGAAAGGTAAATAATCAGGAAGTATCCGAGAGTATTGTCATTGGCAAAATGCCAGTGAGCTGAGGCCCAGAGGTGCCATAATACCGCAGTAAGTCTATATATCATCAATTATGTAGCAGTTACAAACAAACAGGTGATGAACTGAGGGAGCAGAAGAGCCGAGGATGGGAAGCTGAAGGGAAAGGATCTAATTAAATGTCCCTCGGCTTCTCCAGTCTGTTAGCCACTACGCTGGTGTTCCAGTCTCTGTGTTGAGCTTATTAAATTCAGATCAGTTAAGTGCTGTTTTTAGACTGGTGTGCACAGTAATAAAGTCCAAACAGTCCTCATAATAGAAGCTTTAACGCTATAAACACAGAACAACACAACAAAGGAAATAAATAAATGCAGCATGTGGAAGTCTTCACTTGATTATATCCAAACACGTGGTCAGAAGATTTAAAACAAGCTTCGGTTTGCCATTAAAAAAAACAACAAAAAAAACGGAATTGTAGTCTCTCGCCATTGTTTGATCACTTAATGATGTCTTTTCTTTCTAAATACGATGTTGTGCACCATCCAAATTCATGGTTTTGGTTGCAGTCCCTCCCCTCATTTCTTCGACAGTTTCTTTGTTGTGCGTATTTTTGTGCTCCTTCAGGTAATTGACCGATTCAAAGTGGCACAGCAGTGAAATTTTCAGTGCAATTACAATGACACTTCAGCTGCAACAGAGAGGGGGTTTAGCTGTCTGAAAACTCAGATAGAATGTCAGATTTTGGCATCAGTCTTGGAATACGAGAGGGGGAGTGCATGTTTCTAGACTGCCTGTTTCTTCTTTTTTTTTTTTTTACCAAGGTTTTACCAAATATTTTAATAGTTACAGAGGGCAAACTCCAGAAGAAGAGGCAGACACTCCACTCTCTGGTGTCAGCCCCTCAGAGTCAAATACAAAGGCCTCTTCAGCATATTATTTTGCACCAAGGATCAGCAATTTCTGAGGTGACTGTGGTGCTTTTACTCTTGAGTTTAATCACTTTACAAGTATGTCTCCAAAACAATTGACCAAAAATAGCATGTATTTCACCAGAGAATGAATATGAGTGGATTACAGTTTCAGAGATTTGTAGTTGGGCCTGGCAACTGATAGATTAAGTTCAATTTTCACAATAATGTCAGCATTAATTAGTGGCTCAATAAAGAGCTTTTATTGTGTCTTGCTGCAAATTTGTCACTTGAATACCCCAGTTCTATTACAGGACTATGATATAATGCAGAAGGTTTAGAAATACATAGATAAATCAGCATTGCCTTCATCAGTGGCCTCCTCTAATAGCAACCAAGAAATGAACAGGAAAAAAGTCACAGTGCAAAGGCCTGATACAACTAGATTTGATGGTGATTTATGTAAAACATGCACAGAGCATGCAGCAATGCTCAGATGTAGGTAAATGCTCATGTTAACCTACTTACATAAATCTAGTCATAGCCCACTTCTTAAAGTGTAGCCACATGTATAATTCATACACCAGTTTTAAGGTGGCCCAAAGGATATTTCCGCTGCCACTCAGTCATGCCAAATCCATCTATATCTCTCTTTAAACATGCATGGTGTAATTTGTACCGCACCTCTATGATGATAAGTGATCTCAGTTCTCCCAGAGTTATCTCTAACAGCATCATTTACACCGTCTCCCAACAACTGGGCCACAGGGTGTGTGGTGCACATTAATGACCTGATGGCGCACCAGCCTCCATTCATTCTACAAGAGACCCTTTTCTTACAGGCGCTGTAGTTTCATCTTCTGAGCAGCTCCCAGGAGAGGCATTTTCTGGCCCGTTATTGGTTGGAAGGTGGATAGTGGCCATTAGTTGGGAGTGATTTTAATCATTTTGGCACTTTTGCTCTATTTTACAGTACGGAGACTACGACCCCGATGTTCATAAACCCGGCTTCTTGGCTGGGAAGAGTCTGCTTCCAAAGAGAGTGAGTGGCAGCCGCTTGACTTACTGTCATTCATGAGTGACGATGCTGACATATTATCTTGGTCTATACATGCAGTGCACATGGCATTTAATTGGTACTGTACGCATTTATTGATATTTATGTCTGTCTCTCTTCATTTCAGTTTCTTAACTTGTATATAATGACTGCGGCGATGTGGGAGGAGAAGATCACAGCTTGTTATGCACAGCACATGGGCAAGACGAGGTGAAAACCGCTGCACTGAACTGAAGTTTCACAGTCGTTGGCACACTTTCAGCTTTGAGTTCATATAAGGTGTGCTTTAAACATGTTTAATACAAAATAGGAGTCTACTTTGGCATTAGAGTGCGTAAAGACTTGTATAAAAGTAGTTTCTGAAGTATTTCTAAGAAGCATTAGAATTAGCTTTTGAACATTTATTTGTAGATGTAGAAAATGCATCAATATCAAGCAACTCACCACAGCTCATAACGTATCACTGACGTGTATTTAAATGTTCTACGGATTCACATGAATCTAAGTTACTGTAGCTAAGTTGGAGAAAAGTCTGTAAAAATGGTATCGCTGTAACGGTTTTAGTAAATCTGAAATGACAGGAGAGTAAAAATCAGTTATCGTGCTCTTGCACTTTGCTCCTCCACTAAGCTGAAGTAAGCTGAAAATGGATAGGGAGCAAGTGTGAGGGCTGTGGAGTGTCTTAAAACTCTGTGGGTGGGAAATTTTAGGATGGCGAGTGAGTTCTAAAAGCCAGAAACCTCAGCACTTGATAAAGTAATAAGTGAGTCACTGGTGCTGATCAATAACCCTTTCAAACCCAGCAGTGGGAGGGCAGCTGGTGGTCCTACACCTTTAGCATTTTAATTGTTTTGGAAGTGATGTAGGATAGTTGGGGCAAAGGGACGGAGGTTATTGCTCCACCAACTATTGGACTGACTGCTATGAAGTTTGGTAGAAGACAGTCATATCTCCTTCAAGATGAACAACTTTGGGGAGGCTATAACTTCTTCAGCGGCAGTTTCAGGTGAAATTCTTAATTTGTCCAACACTTTGGCGAATGAGCAAAAATCTGAAAGCTAATGGCACCAGCATGCAAAAGCATGATAACGCTGTTCCGCAAACTGCTGCACTCCTCACATGATAGATCCTCTCTAAATGCGTACAGAGGAGTAAAGTGTAAAGAAATAAAATAGTCCAGAATTGCCTCCATTTTCAGTAGCTGCATTATTTTAGAATATCAAAATCGCATAAAGCTGAAATATTCAGCCCCAGATTACACCATACAGTTAAAGTTTTATTTCATCTGTATTTTGGTCCATATTCTCTTAGAACATGATTCAAAATGTATTATTAAAAAACAGATGTCAGCACCACATCAAAGCCACTGATATGCCATGTGCATCTGTATGTTGTTTCATCGAGTGAAAACCCACTGGTTTGCACTTAAATCAAGTAGTTACCATTTATATTTCTTCTGATCTGCTCTAAAGTCAGAATGTACTCGCTGTCCAACCTAGTTAAGATTTGTTTACTTGGCATCGTGCTCTCTCGCCTGTTTAAACTTTGATGAAGCTTAAATCTTCAATTTTCTAACCACCCATATCAAACAGGCAGTTATTAAAACTTCACATGCCAGTATGGCCTGATTTTTCCTCAGCCATCAAAGTATGCTAATGCTGCTTTTTCTTCTTTCTTTTTTTCTGCTGAGTTGACCCTGAAATCACAACAGATCTGCCAACAACACTGCAGAACAGAGAAGAAGAGGGGAAGAGTTGGATGCATTTGTTTACTCTATTGCAGTATTTAGAGTCTTGGAGACATGCAGCATCTTGTTTTTTCCTCAAGCATGACCTCTAAAGCCTGTTAGGGATTTACAGTTGTGTTTTGTGTCACTGCAGCGTGTGTGTGTTCACCGTCATAAGAGCTATGTGGCAGTTTTTATAGATCACACAACACGACAGATGATACCCACAAAAGCAGAGGAAAGAAGGTCTGATCTCCTTTTTCTCTCCACTTCTGCACCTCCTCTCCTCCCACCCCTCCCTCCTTCTTTTCTCTATTCCTTTGAATCCCTCTCAATCTTTTTCTCCCTCTGTCTTTGAACCAGGGAGGAAGCTGAGATGGAGTATTTAAAAATAGCTCAGGACCTGGACATGTATGGTGTCAATTACTTTTCAATCAGGGTGAGTCAATGCTGCTTTGTTATATCTTTACAAAGTAAGGCAATATTAGGAGGCGTGGTGGTTTCACTGTTTCATGAAATGAAGAGGGGGGAATAGCAGTCTGACTTTACTGCTTGTCTCATAGTCGAATTCACTATTAGAATATTGAGCTTTTTAAAACAAAGTTTTATATTTTGGGCAGCGATTTGGTACTGGACATCATTTCAGAAACAAATGTGCAACAACTCGAAACAAACAGAAATTCACTTGATCAATGTGTTGTCTAAAAGGCCGAGGCATTTCTGAATACCACCAAAAAGTCAAGCTAAGCTTTAGTAATTCACTGTAGCTTTACCTTTCGAGTTAACAAGCACAAGTTGCGTATACACCCCACAACTTGTTTAGCTCTCTTCAAACAAATAGTTTTGGCAAACGCAGCCACTGCAAAGCCACCTCTGTCAAGTGCAGGTATAAATGAGTGTCGGCTGGAAGGTGGTTGCTTGTATGTTATAACGAGTCTGTCTTAGTCTGCTTTTTTTATTTTTTAGAATACGAAGGGACAAGCTCTTCTTCTGGGACTGCACGCCCTCGGTCTGCACATCTACAAGCCGGGCAACAAGCTGACACCAGAGGTGACCTTCATATGGGACGAGATCCAGCACATTTCATGCCGTCCGAACCTGGTGCGAGAATCTGCTGTTGAAGTTTGTGATAAAGATTGATGGGAGAGCAGTAAGATTACTGAATATGTATATAAATATATTTCAGACAATGACACATTAAAGAGAAAACCAACATGAAGTGTCTCAGTAAGGTGCTGGGTCACCACAGGCCTTGGCATTGATTCTCCAAGACTCTACTGAAGGGATGAAACACCATTCTTCCAAGTGATATCACCTCAGTTGGTGTTTTGATGATGAGGGTGGTGGAAGGTGCTCTCTAACATTTTGTTCCCAAATCGTTATTCACATCATTTTCATACTTATCAATCTCATCGAGTGATCCCCTCATGCCATATGGTTCCCAGATGAGGACATTTTGTCGTCATTTGCAGTGACCCTTCCCTCCAAGTGGATAAGTAAACTCAAACTATCCCTTACAGGATAATAGAGCCACCAGACCCCTTACTGTAGGAGTCAGTTTTTTTCTTTAATTTGTCAACCATCTGTGTCTATACACTTAATGAATGTGTGAAATTGATGATTGTGTCTTTTTTCTTATGGGGTCTGTTTAAAAATCTGGCATTCTTTTTTTCCCTCTATATTTAGTTTAACGTCATACTTTTGGGCAAGAAAAAAAATGTTGTCAAGTTCAAGTCTTCAGAGATAAAGTGCCGGAAGCAAGCTGAGATGGTAAATGTTGCTTCAGTAGTATTGAAAACGTAATTTTGGCTGAGAGTAAAGAAACACTTTTCATGGTACCCATTCTTGTTTTATGTCTCTTGTGTAGGTCCTCTATCTGTTTGCGGTGAACCATTTGCTGTTTATGCGCCGACGGAAACCGGACACGATTGAAATACAGCAAATAAAGATTCAGGCGACGATGCTGAGGGCCAGAAAAGAGGTACTGATGATGTGGAACAAAGGCAAGGAGATACAGTTGACTTTGTCACTAACCAAGGTTCAATCCAAATGTAAATGCACTTTTTAACCAAACTCCTAGAAAATCTGCAAAGATAATGCAAATTCACGTATGTTGCTATTCACTGTTAATACAAATATGCATGTATCAGGAGTTGGACACGGACTACGAAGCAAGTTTGATAGAGCCAAGGTTTCTTTGTGTAAGCTGTCTCAGCAAAACCTAAAATCCCATTCAGAGATAATGGATGTCACCAAGATGATTATCAGCTTTCTTTGTTAGCCAGGTTTTCTTCATCTTAATCCGTGTGAACTCACTTAAAAGGAGTCATTTCACACATCATGGGACTCTTCTTTGGCACGGATGTGACCGATGGTGCGCCACCACTTTCAGTCAGTGGCAACTGGTTTTTACAATGGAGAACTATGAAGAGTAGAAAATGTCTGACACTGTCCCATAATGAAGGATGCGTGGAAATCACATTAGTTTTTGGTCCAATCAAAGTGAAGCTAATGTTGTTGACTGTAGATTCTCTGTGATGTATGAATAAACCAATAGACTAATCAGTTTTGTGTTCTGTTAGCTGCAGTACCAGCAGTGGAAAACAAAATTGGCAGCAAGTCAGGAACAAGGATTAAAAAAAAAAACATATTCATGCATTTTCTGCATCACTGACTGAATGCATGTAGGGTTCTCAGGCAATGTGATGTATACAGTTTGCAATACTGCACAGGTACAGCTTGGTTCAGTGGCATCACTAACATACAGCTCAACAGGTTTGCACATATGATGTATTCCCTGCAGCATCGGTTACTGTGGCCATCTAGCAGGTTAACCCACCAATCTCACTTCACAGCACAGCCCTCTAGTGACATCGCTGCAGAGGTGGAAGGTGCAATGAGATGACCCATTTAAAGAGCTCCTGTCACACCTCTAACAATGGAAAACCATGTAAAAATAATAATTAAAAAAAAAACACTATGGAAACATGGCATTTATTGTTGTTTTCTGTAATAATTTGAGGTTTTCATCTGTTGACATTTTTCTGATTTCTCCCTGAGTGACGGTCAATTACCACACTTTTTACTTGTTTGATGAGTGCTGAACAATTGCTTAAGTTAGTCTCTGCTGAGCTTAGGCACATTTTCTTTTCCACCTTGTTAAGGCGTGAAAATTGTTTTGTAATGTAGCAGCGTAATCAACTCTCTGACTCACGGCCTCACTCCGTTCAGGTGGAGACACAATAAACATTCTGTCCAACCACTTTCATTTTGTTCCATACTTTAACAGTACTTGTCTTTAATGTGATTCTCAAATTCAAGCACACTGCTTTCTTCGTATAAATTCTAATAATGTGCAACAGAACCAGGCGTCTGTTTTTAAAAGCCTCCCTCCTGTCTCTTGTCTTGTGTTGATGTGTCCATCGGGTGCATCTGTCTCGTGATTTTCTTCTGTTGGATCCAAAGTATGCTTTGTCCATTGTATTTTCATTCATATTCCATCTTTTGTTGCTGTGTTTCTGTCTGTCTTTGTCCGTATTTCCACTCATTTTTTCCAACCACATTCCCTTTTCTTTGACCGCACTCCAACGTCTGTGTCATTCAGGAAGCGAAGCAGCGTCTGCAAAAGGAGCGGCAGCTGCGAGAGGCGGCAGAGAAAGCCAAGGAGGAGCTGGAGAAGAGGTTAATTCAGCTGCAGACTGAGGTTTACATGGCCGGGGAGACACTGGTAAGATTTTGTTGGTTAGTTGAATCTAAAAAAAAAACAAAACACCATTTTGTTGTCTATTTCACAGAGACGCCAGGTTTCAAAACAAAATAATTCTCTCAATATCAGTGAAATCCCCATTAATGTGCCTCACTTTTTCTGTTTTCACCTCCCTTCTTCTACATTCCTCTCTCTCCCCTTTTGTCCTCTTCTTCCTTGCACATATGCTTTGCTTCACTTTCACTGTCTCCTCCCCCATTTTTAACTTTACTCGCCCCTTTTCCCCTGGTTATGTTTACCCTACTCCCTCTTCCTTCTCCTCTCCAGGTGTTTTTGACGCAGGACCTGCTGGCTGCAAATGCGCAGATCGCAGAAGAGCAGGCCAAGAAGCTGCCCCAGAAAACTACCGAGGCTGAGACTGAGAAGCAATGCCAAAAAGTGACCACCGTCAGTGACCAGGAGGAGCCAGAGAAGATGCTGGAGGCAGAGATGCTCGCCCTCAAGATGAATGAGGAGTTGGAAAAGAGGTGAGGAGAATAAGAATGAGGATTGGGTGGAGGAATGTTTAGTCACACAGTTTATCTCTTCAGTTTTGGTCTTCGTGAGCACCATTTCTCTTGAACCTCAAATTCTCCCTCTTTGTATCCACCTTACTCAAACAACATGCATCATTTTTACATGTTTAAATCACTTATTCCTACATGTTAGTAAGAGGGTTTTCTCCCTTTATACAAAATGTAAACCTTTCAAACAGGCTAAGCTGTCTTACAAGAGGCTTCTAGTTACTAAATAGCTTCTACAACTCAGATGTTTTTGAGTTGCCGTGCTGTTGAATGTCAAGGTGCACAAACATGCCACTGCACATTAGTTTGTTCAGCAGCACAGAAGTCGGTCGACAAGCTCCAAGCACAGAGCTCGGCAAATTGCTTGATCAAAGAACGAGAGCCTCTAAGTTGTTTAAAATCATTTATTTTCAAAGGCTTTGCTCCTGCACTGCAACTAGAAAGCAGGGTGCGAACACCTTACTTCACACAAAGGAAAAACAGGGGGTAAAAGGTTTTGTTCCGCAGCCCTCCCCCCATATCTGAGGCAGAAGCGTTCATTTCTGCTAGTTAATAGTTGACAGTAGTATTGATGGATGTTGGCTTTCTCTATCAAATGGCCTCTTTTACAGCACACTGAAGTTAAAACAGTGCTGAAACTCAATGTTTGATCTGTGTTTTATCTGCAGCTTTGTCTCTTTTTTCCTCCCCTGGAGTGGATCAAGTCAATCAAATCAAGTACAATATCTGCTCTTGACTTTTTTTTTTTATTCCCTTGTAGGTCAGATGGATGAAGAGAGTGGGACTTGAGTGATTCTCAGTCAGCACTCTGTAAGGCTTGATAGATGCCAGTCAGTTGTAGCAGAGAACTTGTGCCATTTTTTATAATACAACAGCGTCCATACTAAGAATATCACTTCAGAGCCTCTACGTTTATTAGGCAATCATTTTAAATGGGCACCATTAACCACTTGCCGGTAACTACAGTTTCTGGATGAGCACTTTCCTGCACCAGAGAAAATTTAAACCCGCGGCACTCAACATGTAAATGACTATGTCCACTCAAACCCTCGAGGCACATAGCTCCCCCACATCAGCGAGGAACTGCTGAGTATTCAGGAACACAATCAAAAGAAATGTAATCACTGGCATATAACATTCTTACATCTCTGTGGTGAAATAACGCAGTCAGAAATGATTGTCTTTTGGGGTCGTACATTGATCACCTAGGTAATAACAAAGTGACATTCCTGGTTCACTGAGTGCCGACATACTGATTACGTAAGATAATTTTGGATTCAATTTAGATAACTCTGTTTCCATTGAAGGACTGGGAGGTGAATTAAAGTATTAAATATGCATCTTTGTGTCTGTTTGTCCCTCAGGGCCAAGGAGGCTGAGCAGCTGATACAGGAACTGCAGGAAGCCAGAGATGCAGAGCGCAATGAAAAGCACAAGCTGCTGCAGATTACAAGCAAGGTTATCTATACAGTAGCTGTCTTAGGTCACGTATTTATGACACACGTGTTACCACTCACATATATTTAACATTCTGAATCCCAAAACCCCATTTAAAAAGAAAAGAAAGAAAAAACCAAACAAACACTGAAACTCCACCTTTTATCATAGCCAGAAATAGTAAAAACAGGAACAATTGTTGGATTTACTTTCCGACTGTCTTTGATGTAATTGTGTGTGACTATTGGTTTTGTTGGTAAAAATCTGACCACATGTGAGCTAAAAACTGGGATGTCTCGTTTAAATATTTGCCAAAAAATGAACCATTTACAGTTACTAGATTTTGCAAAGGAAAAAAAAAAATCTCTGCTCCTTGGCATATTACAATCACAATCACATGACAGAAATGCAAGGAATTTTGGCTGAACTAGGGTAAAAAGATTTTTAAAAAAGAATAATTCGGGAAATATCTATTGTGTGTAGAGTCACTATTTACACCTACACCTGTAGGTACTTGAAATGAAAATGAAGTGAAAAATACTTTGTTCATCCCAGAAGGGAAATTCAATCCTGTAAAAGCTCACCTTTCTTTTTTTTTCTTTTTTTTTTTTTTTTTTTAAATCAATATAACATATATTATATACAACAATAATAATTATTCAGTCAGTTGGATTTGTTTTTTAAAGTGATGACTGTTGGCAGGAAGGAACTCCTGTATCTCTCAAAAAACTTGCAAAAAGCTATACATGATGATTCCAAGTTTTTACAATTTTTGTAAAATTGTTAATCAAAGAAAGTCTTTTGTTTGTTTTTACTGCGTAGACATGTTTGAGTTTTCTCTACTTGGAGCCATCGTGCTGTTTTCATAGATCCACAGGAAATTTCTTGGATTTGGTTTATGCATATAAGTCACGTAATTGAATTGGCAAAGTCAAATGTAAATGTTCAAGGACAATCAAGCGTTGCTGAAATTAATGACAAGTAATGTGGGCAAATACACAGAGATGTTAGATATATGCTAATTTCAGCCCCTCTGTGACACCGATTTGCTTATTTATTGCTTTTTTTTTTCTTTTTTTTTTAAATAAAGGGACAATACACATTAATGGAGCTGCAACAAATTATTATTTTCAGTATCAATTAATCTGAGTCCTAAAAAAAATGACAGTGAAAATGCTGATCAAAATATCCCAAAGCAGAATGTGATGTCTTCAAATGTGTTGTGCAAACCTCCCAAATACTCAGTTCACTGTAACATCAGACCAAAAAAAGCAGCAAATTCTTACACTGTAGAGAAAATGGAACCGTTAAACGTTAAATGGTGTATTTATTTGAAAAATAACAAGCAATCATTACATGAATTGATTAATCGTCAAGGTTTCTGCACATATATAAACAGTACCGTTAATGTTTGACTAATAATGTTTAATAACCTTATTAGTCAAAGCAATATCCTGAAAAATAACCACATAACAAATCACACAGTCAGAAACATTTACACACATGCATACAGAAAATACACACAATACAGAGCTGCACATGCACATGGACAAAAAAAAAAAAGTTGTGTCCTTTCCCAGTGGAAGAACGAACTGCTGCCGCTGGGATAAAAATACGCAATGGCCGTATAGTTTTGACAGTTTTATCTTGACTCCTAATAACACACACACACACACACACACACATACGCCTACACATGCACACACTGACACATGCAGCTGCAGCCCTGCAAAGCCGCACTAAACAAGAGATACTTGCATAAGACCGGGGCGCGCATGAGGCAGCCTACGCAAGAGCTTCCAACATGCTAAAAACCCACACATGACACATTCATCTGCCCGCACACATGTACTCACACACACACACACACACAAACACGTATTGAGATGCTGGCCGTGGAGAGAACGCCAGAGTCTTATCAGCTTATGAATGAACAGTATAAACATACACAAACACCGGTGCCACCATATCAGTGAAAAGTCTGCACGCATAAAGACACTGTTACACAATATTCTCTATTTCCATTTACATCGACTTCGGTCAAACTGCCCTCTGCGCTCTGCCACACCGTGTTTATGTTTGGATTCACATGCCAAGCGTTGGATTTACATTTATATTGTGTACACGGTCCTCTTCTTATCCAGCAGACTTCTGAGGTAGCACGTGGCCAATGCATTTCTGACTTCAGGTCAAGATCTGAAAGCATATATTTGTGTGTTCATGATCTGTGACCAGAGAAGTAGTAGTCATCTTCTTGGCCCCTTTCCTCCATTTGAAACATTCTCTATCGCCATTGCGCCCGTGTGTCCTACGAATCTTTTCTATAAGTTCTGCAACCATCATGTGCTGTGATCCTCTTTCTTTATTTCTCTCTTTCTCTATCCGCTCTTCCTTTATTTTACTCCATGTTTTCTTTTTGGTCTTTTGTCTCATTTCCCACTATATTCCTGTCAGTTCATTTACCACCTCTAGCGTCTTTCTGATCTTTTTTTTCCGATCACAGTCCCCAGGTCTGCCGTCTGACAGCACGCCTCAAGACCTGAGCTTCAGCAGGGAGAACCTCAGCTTCGACTTTAAAGACACTGACATGAAAAGCTCCTTCACGGTGACTCAGACGAAGAAGTGAGTAGCCAGTGCTGCTCTGCTGATCCTGCTTATTATTTTTGATTCTTTGGCAGGTTTATGCAGCGCGTTGTACACTTTCTGGTTGTGTGGTTGCGCTTGACTGCAGTGGGTCGGTGGATTAAATGTTCATTGTCAGAAGAAAATGATTAATTGAAAAAAAAATAAAATAAAAACCTCTTTCAGGGTACTTTTGAGTAACCTAAGATTTTGTAAATTGATGCTGTGCTGTGCTTGGAGGAATACCATAACATTAAATATGCACATTTTGATTCTTGAGTTCAGGTGAGCTTTTGACCCTCATTATTAGCTGCCATTAATGCTGCTGCCAGTATTCGGGCATTTTCATTTCAGTGGCTGTTACGGCCAGCGCTTGCAGACAGGAAAAAGCACATTTAGACAAGTGTGACCCTGGCTGTGGAGCTGAATAAATTAGCTGTGTCTTGGTTGTCATATGATTAGGCAATTAGGTTTTTTTTTTTAAATAAATGCAAGTGAGCGTCAGGCCTGCAGGGCAACAACTGTGACGGTTCACAAGACTTAAAGACTGTGATGGAACTGAAAGATACATACTGTAAGAACTGTGTTTTGTGACTAGTTGACCAGTCATTCTGTCTTTTTAAACATGTTATTATGGTTAATTGTGCGTTTCATTTCTCTTAATTCTTAATACCTAGAATGTCAGTAGACCCATCAGTGAATCAGTTTGTCTGGCATTCTTTAATTTTCTTTTCTTTTCTCATAATTATATTTCAGACAACCTGGGAAATTGTTCCTAGAGAGTTTTCGCAGTGTTACTGTATTTGGATGAACTTGCTGACAGCTGTTAGAAATTATTTGAATAGAGATTGGGGTTAGTTTTTAATGCTGACTTGGAGACACATTTTAACTTGAGTTGTTGAAATGTTTTTAATCATTGTCTTTTTTTATTTATTTATTTATTTATTTTATCTCCAAGATTAAACTATTCTTCAGAGCCAGAAACTATGAAAGCATAAATAATAGATGCATTTTCAACTTTTGGATGGTTCTTGAACAATTCATCTGTGATCTGCTGTTCTGTCAGAAAACCAAGTCTAACCTTAAAATTGTGATATTTTATGAAAATGACTTCTATGTGTCTCTTTAAAAAAAAAATGCCAAAAATAAATTAAAACAGAGTCTGCAAAAACACAAACAACTCTGTGCTCCTCGACACAACCGTTAAGCCACAAGTGACTAATGCTGCAGACTGTGTTTACACAGAGCAAACAGGAGACAAGTATGGAAACAAATCAAAACGTATGGAGTAAAATATCAGGTAACACTTTATAATAGCTATCCGTTATAACTAGTTAATAGATCATTTGTAAACTGTTAATTAGTGAGTTATTAACCACTTGTTAAGTGTTTGTTAATAGTTTGTTGATGATTTATAACGATATTATATAACGTATATAACGTTATTCTAAAGTTGCAACTATTCCTCATTTATTCCTCACACATTAAAGACAATGTTCAACATTCTATCTGTTGTATGTCTTTGGTAAAATATAATACACAGAAAAGTCTGTGGGTGGAAGAGGGTTGAGGTACAAAACTGTGCTATTTTAAATATCATATCAAATTTCTGCACCTTGAACTTGTTCCACCCATTTGCTGTTCTACACAGTGTCATTGGCATTGGTAGATGGTTAACAAACTATTAACAAGTTATCTGTAAAGTGTGAGTTAATGTAGTAGTTAAGTATTAGTTATAAGTTTATGTATGTTATTGAGACGTTATTCTAAAGTTGCAACTAGTTATTATAAAGTGTTGGCAAATCTTTATGTAGAGTCACCATGTTTTCTCCGGTATCTGTAACACTTGTGGGCACTTTGATTCTTCTTTCTTTTTTTTCTTTTTTTTTATTTGTGGCACTATAACAGTGTTCTGTGGCACAGAAGACATTTTTGAGTTCTCTCTACTTCTAGCCATGGTTGTGCTGTTTCCATAAAGGTGCAGGACTTGAAGTGTACTGACAAAATGAGCCCACAGTGATTAAAAATGTGTCAGGAGCAAAAAGGATTGAGCACGAACTGTTTGGGCTTCAGAGGGTTAAAGCATAAGTAACAGTACCTGCTTCAGGATTATCAAAAATGATTATATTTCCTCCAAGTCTGCGCCTTTATTATCACTGCTCTCTTTGTCACATGGAAATAACAACCTGCTATTTTTCCATGTTTAGGGTTGAGAAGAGAAAGCAGCTGCATGAGCTGCTGAATGAAATAAAGGCCGAGATGGAACTTTTGAAACTAACCAGGCACGAGACTCTTCTGGACTTCATTTACAGAGGAAACACAGCGCGAGGGATCACCAAGCACAGCAACTTTACTATGGTACTTACCTTTCTAATCTAATTGCATTTACGGTAGCCTTTCAGGTTATGTATTGGAGAAACTGACAAAGATCCTACTACATCAACACACAAATGCAGATTTGACCCAGATTCCTCTGAAAAAACAGCGCTGCAGCTATCAAAAACTAATGTTTACAAGTAACTCTTTGTCTCTCTTTGTGCACTCCTGTGCTTCTATCCACTCCTCGCCTGTTAATTTGTAAAATATGCCAGCGGCTGGCGTGTGCACTGACAGTAAAGTTACAGAGAGGAACAGCCAACACAAGGAGTAGTGCTGTGTTAGCAGTTAACTCTGCTACCAACTGGCTCCTAATTTCTTTTTTCTTTTTTTTTTTTCTTGGCTGAAGGCAAAACAGTAACTGAAGCCATGTGGTGTTTTATGTACACGGATATGTAGCGTTCTTCTCATGGCGTGTGCATATAGTTAGCTGTCAAACCATCTAACAGGGAAAAGATACGCTCCCGTATCTGTCGACTACGGTTACATTTCTGAGTATTTTAGGCTTTTCACAGCGGCCCCGATTAGCTGGAGTCCCACAAGGTGATGGAGTGTAAGCGGGGTCCTAATACTGATCTTGCATCATCTTCCCAAGGATAACTGTCTATCAAAACTTGATAATCTTCTCTCGTACAACATGCCTCACCATCATATTATTTTAAGGCGGGGTATTGATTCTCACAGCTCCTCTTAATAGCAGCCTTCTCGTCTTGGCCCCGGGTTCATTTTTCAACCTCGACTCTCTCCTTTGATGGAGCCCGCTGGAGGGAGTGTTCATTCATTTTCTGCTATGACCTCTAAAAGTGCGCAGTGATTGCTGGTCTTAAGTGTATTAAAATAAAGAGAAAAACTCACCCAGCGACTAAGAGGCAGAGCTGTGTTCTTTGTAACGCGTCAGCTCCATCAGCATTAGCCATTTCATCTTCGCCTGGTTTAGCGACGATATGAAGTAACGCGAAAACTGACAGACTTGCTCAGCTCGAGGGGATATTTCATAATTGATTGGTCAGAGGCAAAGACATTGTTATAAAAAAGTAGATTCTATTTCGACTGTCCTCCGATGAACTGGCAGATTAGACTCATTCGCCTTTATCTTCCCACTCCAGTATCTCCCTAATTTCAATAAAAGTATCGAGAATGTGAGCAGCGTTCCCAGCATATTGTATAACAAAAAGCCCACCCCTCCTCCGTTTCGTCTCCCAGTGTAAAATATACTTGTTAAGGGGGCACTAATTGATTTTAGCTTGGTGATTTGTCATTTGGATCGATGGGGGCACTTCTGGCATGCAAGAGGAGAAGGAGCTAAGTTAAAAGTGTTGGTTTAATTGAACCAGAGGCGCTCTGCATTTATCTTGCTGGCGAGGGAGAGAGGCCGGGGCACACGGGCGTTGCAGGGAGAAGGGAAAGTGAGGAAACTAAGTCAGCTTTGCCCAGAGAGGTGAGAAGTTTAGGAAGGGCTGAGGCTGATCTAAAATGTTCAAAGGACGAGGAGTTTGGAGAGAGGCTGAGTCACGGAGAAGTGCTAAGAATGCACCGTGAAGCCGGTGACCAGAAGGTAGCGGGGTGAAGGGGAGCAGAGGGAACGTGGAACGAAGCACAGATCTCTCAGCCAGCAGCATCACGACCGGCTGCAACCTGCGGGGCAAACTCTTCTCCGTCCAGACTCCCTTTCCCCCCCCCTCTGGATGATTAATGAACGTCCCCTTAACACGGCCCAGCGCCTTTTTTCACTTCTACCAGGCCACAGGTTCTGCTCTGTTAGCACCGCGCCTGCCAGGAGAGCTCATTCTCAGCAGCTGAATCACAACACAAGAGCTGCACTGAGTCTGTGTGAAGTTTCACAGAGGAAATACTATTTTTTTTTCTCTCTCTCATAATTTATACAGAGATCCATCCAGACAATGTGAAGTGGCACACAAAGGGGGTCAACCATCAGGGGGTTATTCTCATTGTGCTAAACAACATACAGAAGGATTTTTTTTCTTTCTAGGAAATAGCCTGCTTTTGTGCCATTCACAACATTAATATCCAGGACATTGAATAAAGAGTTCTTGCTCTATCCAGCGAGACTGTGGGCAGCGTGGAGCACAATGCTGAAGAGTTAGATAAACACACAGTCAGGCTCTCACAAGTGTAGTTCAGGCCGCCTGTCAGCAGGGACAATGGAAGGTGATCGGTAAACATTACGCTGCAAATCCATTCGTCTCCCACACATTATCTGTTTGGATTTGCTTAGGTCCCCTCGATCTGCACGTTCCCCTAGAAACAACCTGGATTTCCCAAACTGTCCTCCTTCATCCCCGCTCTAATATTTACTTTGGCAGCCGCTTTAATTCCCTTTACCCAACAGATGTTAAAGGGAAGAAAAAGTTTATCCGGCCCCTTTGAAGCAGACTTATGCTGCACGAGATGCTGTGGCGAAAGGGTTAAAGCACCGCCAGTGGCCTGAAATAATCCATCACCAGCTCATTTAAACCTGGAGAGAAAAACAATTAACAGTTCTTTGTGTGACTGGCATTGATCTACCACTGCTCTCCACATCAGTTTGTAGTCGAGAGTACAAAGTTTTTATACTTATCCAGTCGTAAACCCCTGATTGAGGCTGACTTTTGTTTTGGCTTATGTAAA